ATAGCCAGGACATGGAAGCAACCCAGATGCCCATCAGCAGACGAATGGATGAGGAAGCTGTGGTACATATACACCATGGAATATTACTCAGCCATTAGAAAGAATTCATTTTAATCAGTTCTAATGAGATGGATGAAACTGTCTAAAGCTTTTAAAAGGAAATTAGAAATATATGCAGATTCTGGAATACTTATAGATTGAGAAGTCAATCATTATATCACATACCAGATGAAGCTTGGTAGTCTGTGGGGAAAGCCCTTTTAGAAATCATTGTAAGCTTCCAAACTGGATAATTCTTATAATCTGCATTTGAGTCAAAGAATTGGAAACTCTATGCAATTTACAGTGGGAATAAACTCCTTCTTTCCTGTACTTTTGAGAGGATAAGAAACACTCTTGAGTTTGAGGGTCTTCAGTGTGAAAAATCTTACTGAAAGCAAATAATCACATAAGTGCCAATGGAAAAAAGTGTTCTCAGATTTCACTTACTCATGTGCATTTTCATCAACACCTCCAAGAGTCCTGGAATCTAACTTCCTTAGTTATCTTTACCACAGAATCTTGACAAATACCAGTTTAATCATTAAAAATCCACCAGCCCATTCTGTGATTTTGACTTTTTCCTGTCCCGAAGGCATTTTTTATATGAGAAGCAAAAGTACATCCTAGGACATAGTTAAGTCTGAATGTTGAAATGTTCATTTGTTTGTTTGGAAAACTTATGATGAGGGAACTAACAGAAGAAAAGGTTCTAAATAGGGATAAATATCTTGCTTCCTATGCCCATCTGTCTTATTTTCTATTGGAAGTCTTTCCCAAGCTTAAAAATAAAAAAGAACATCTATTTTGGAGATGGGCAACACATTTTTTTCCTAGCAGCAACTCAAAACATGATGAGTAATTTGGAAAAGAACTGTCAAATCTACCAGCTGCCTTGCATGTGATGGCGAGGCCTGCTTCGGTTTGTGTCTTATGTACCATCTGCTATATACTGATTGCCTCCACTATGGAAACTGAAAGCTGAGTATATCAGGTGAAACTCATTTAACACATCAAAAACAAATTGACAATACACAACATTACAGAAACTTCCAATTATTTCCTAATTTAGTAACTCACAAGTATGTTTCTTTCTATAGAATATAATTGGCCACACAAGAGTGTGTAAGTATAAAGGCATGTAAACATTTTTTGAAAAATTCCCATCTTTTATTATTATTATCATTTTGAAGATGCAGCCACTGTTTAAACAGAAATCTATAGGGACATATTTTTTTTCAATCTTTGTTTAAACACAAAAATTAACATAACCTCATTTTAGTTCCGTTTCAAGTTGAAGTGGAGTTTTTTCTTTCCTGTAACATGCTCTGAAGCATTTTATTGAGGCGACTAAAAGGTCCAATAAAAAGTGAGTGCCTGGAAAAATTCATTCAAAGAATATTATACTGTAAAGCAGATAGAACTTTAAAAATAATGCAACTGGTTTTCAACACCTCCACCCTCCACTCCACCTTGAAATTTGGAAAACAATGTGCTGGATATAATTTAACTTAATAATGGAAATATTCCAGTTTCTTTTTTTCATCAGAAACCAGATAGATACCGTATAGGAACCCTCTCATGTCAAGGTCAGCTTTTCTGCAAAAGACATCCTAAGTGTCTCTTAGGAGGAAACCTATACTTTTAATTCTCTGCACCCTTCCTTCTTTGGACAAGCTGTTACCCCAAGACCTGAAGTGATCATCTCTCTCCTAGGAGCCCTTAATGTTTCCTGCACCTGGCACTAATTAGCTACTTTATGCAGACTCCCATTTAATTTTTATTAAGTATCACGTTTTTCGTGGCTCCATATGTTTTGATTAAATAGTAGGTTAAAAATGCATTCAATTGTGTATATTCTAACAGTGTTCCCATAATGTGAAACATTTAAATTATCTTTAGCTAATGCTAATTTTTAAAGTGAAAAATCAAGTCCTGGTTACGTCTCATGCTTGGCGGGTGTTAGTCATTGACTTGATTCTTTTGGAAGCATCTTTTGTGTTTGACAGTGTCTGTTCAATGCCTCTAATTTGAAGGGTAGGTATAAATTTATTGAGTCATACTTTTTTTCTCAGACTTTCAATTGTCTTCGTATTGAATAATTCTGTAGTGAAATTCAAGGTTCGCAAAATATTTTTATCCTCAGTGCTATGCCCTTTTATAAATACTAATATGAATATCAATATATTCCCTTCTTCCAATAACTTTG